GTGTGTACATGCATGTATATGTATGTGTATGGTGTGTATGCCTATACACGCATGTGCATTTTTCAAGGAAAACCACTAGTGCTAATGAATAGTGCACTGACTACTCTGATACTATGATCCTCATAGGATTTCAGTATGCCCACTTCACAGATGAGGAAAAATGAGGTCTAGGGAGTTACAGGTATCTGCTCAAAGTCACAGGGGAGTAGGTGTTGGGGCTGGAACTTGAACTTGGGTATGGAACCCTAGTCATGATATTTATTGTCTCTTTGCACTTCACATTGGGTTCACGTGGTTTGGTTCACTCATACCCAAGCTAGATTCCTCTCTTGGCTTCATCAATTAGTGATTGTGAGTGGACCTGAACTCTCTCCCAAACACACTGCTAATCAAGATAATCAAATATAGAAACTCTCACTATCTGCTGGTCTCTTTGCCACTTAACTGTAGCAGACTGTGCTTAAGAGAGAAGTACTTAAGCCCATGGTGAAGTGGTGACATGCCCTTTGCCCTTTGGAAAAGGAAGTGTTCTGGCAGAGGGATGTTTTGAGAGCTTAATGTTGGGTTTTCCATGATTCCTGGAGGAGAAGCCATAACAGTCATTGGAAACATGCAGGAACCAACACAAATTGAAATTAGCTTCATCTCCCATGAAGCCAGCTACACTGTCTTCATTAGATGAGACCAAGAGTAAGCAGAGGTCCTCTGGCTTGTGAAGACTCCCTCATCACGACTAAGCAATTTGTAGTCCTCAGTATTTTATTCTTCCACCCCTGGGCACAATTTCCAGAAAGGGGGCCATTTATATTTAGTGTACAGCAGATGGACTGATTTGATTGTACAGTCTCGTGACCCAGTCTGTTTTCCCCACAGCATCCCTGTGACTGCATCCCTTCCTCCACTAGAGTGGCCACTCTCCAATCAGTCAGGCTCCTATGAGCTGCGGATCGAGGTCCAGCCCAAGCCTCATCACCGGGCCCACTATGAGACGGAGGGCAGCCGTGGTGCTGTCAAAGCCCCGACAGGAGGCCACCCTGTGGTGCAGGTATGGACTCAAATTCTTTTACTTCTGTGCCCTACACTTGTCGCCAGAAGTCACTCTGCCTTGCTGCTGTTTGTGAGGCCAAGGACATTTCATTTCCTCACTCCTTGGAGGGAGAAGGATCTGTGATGTTGTGAGTGTTGAGAGCCTACTGGAGAATTTCAGTCTGGAGGCAGGGAGGTCTCCAGAGCAGGGTGAGGAAACATGATGTCCATCTGGAAGATGGTCCTTCCTTTTCTTTCTGATGGAGAGATTGCTAGGACTTGGCAGAGCTGTTAGAACTACAAGTATTTCTGCTTGCTTTTTCCTGATCAATATTCTTTATTTCTGTGACTTGTAGCTAAACCAGAGATTTGTTCAGGGACAGAAGTGTGATATTCTCCCCTCCAAAGTAGTTGAATCGAAATATTCTTCAAATTGTACTATCTGGTTAACGAGGAAGTACCACAGGTGTCTAGGTTCTGGCTGGTGAACCCACACAGTTCAGTTAACCAGAATTTAAGTTACTGTAACTGTTATTTGTATCTATCTTATAGGAGAGCTCCTGTGTGGTAGAGACCTGGACAGGGTGTTCATAAGCACGCTTGAGGGGAGGGCATTCATGAAAATGCAGATTTTTGCTAAGCTTGGTGGTTCAGGAGGCAGAGGCAGGTAGATCTATGTGAGTTCCAGGTCAGTCACGGCCACAGAGACTTGTATTTTTGTACACACAGACCTTGTATTTTTTTTAAAGATGAAACTTCCTTTAAAATTAGAAAACAGGAGTAGAGACCAGACGAACAGAACCCCCAAATGCTAAAGTTCTCCCCAAGTGCACTGGGTGTGTTCCGCTAATTCAGGACTCCTGGCTGATCGAAGCCCTTGATACACAGATAGGACAAAGCCACAATGGAACCCATTGTTCTGTATGACTGATCTATTACGTGCCAAGAAGAAAAGGGGGGAAAAAGAAAGAAAGAAAAATCCCGGCACAGCCTGTGCTCTGACCTGGCAGCCCTAGGGTCAGTTTCTTTCTGTTCCCAGACCCTTAGCCTCACCTCCCCCTTATGGCTTGTGTTGTTACTTCTGTTCTGACATGGCGCCGATACAGACTGGTGCAGACTGGGTTCTGTCATCTGCCTCTAAAGGTGGTCAGCCCACGTACTGGCTGAGTATGTGTTGTGACTGCACAGCTGGCTGGTTCAGGGGCATCTGCGGGAAAGCCTTGGGCAATCCACTCTGGGCGATCTTTGCTTCTGGTGGACCTGGGTAAGCCCTGGCTTTGGACCCTAAGTATCTGAGGGAGTACTGAGGATGCCCCACTCCCTTCTTCTCTCAGCGTTTGCTCCACTGGGTGAGCGGGAGAGCTAAGTTGCCAGTCATGTTCCACTTGCGGCCTCTAAAGATCCTGGCTGTCCCCATCACAGTCACCCCTGCGTTTGCACAGTCCTTGGCCACGGCCTTGAGGCTCACGAGAGACTGCCTTCTCTCTGACATCTCGCCCATGGATTCCAGCTGCAGCAGTCAGGGAGGCTAAAGTCTGTCCTATCGGCTGGGGCTGGGGGTAGGGTTCCATCTGCTGGCGTGGCTCTGAATCCAGGAAGAGCAAGGAGTCGTGTGCCTCTTTTGTGAGGGGAAGACTTTGTAAAACAGGAGTTGGCTGCGGAGGGGGCAGAGGTCACTGGAGTTCTCTGAGGAAGGGGCTGGGGCTGAGGACACAGGACACTGGGGGTTGGGGACTGCTTGTGCCCAGGAGCCCAGGAGGAAGGGCACTTGGAAGGAACAGAGAGGCTGGTGCAGCTGGAACACAGGGGGCCAGGGCAGGCAGGGCCCAGGCTGTGGTGGGAGGGGCTGGGGTTGGGGGGGGGGACCAGGAAGGAGACAGAAAATTCAGGTTCTCAATGCCCATGTGGAGCAGGAGCTGAGAGGAGGAAGGGAGTTGGGAGACCCCTTCAAAGGGCTCTGTGCATGTTGGCACATGTACTGGCTACTTAATGCATGTTTATTGAGCATCTGCTATGGGCTAGGCAAGGTTCTGGGTTCTGAATTTGACAGAAACACAGCAACACTTGACAGAAAGATGGACGATTTGGAAACCCTTACCACGCAGGAGACCCATTCCATCTGTGTCAGGGTGAGGTCTCAAAACCTGGGCAAGGTCATTGCTGTTTAGTTGCTTCAAGGGCTTGCTTGTCACCCGCCTGTCCGAGGCTGGCTCAGCATGGCTTCCCACTCCCAGAGAAAGCTGGTGCCCATGCCCCTGGCTACAGTCTCTCCTCACGGCAGCACCTACTGTGGCGTCAGTCAGCTCTGGACCTTTTGCCAGCTCACTGGAGCCCAAGTCCTGTTCCCCGGAAGATTCTGGCTGACTCTGGCCGAAGAATCATGCCACCACTGAGTTCGGTTGGCTGAGGCTTGTGGCCGGGAGGCCGTGTGAGAAGCAGGGCTCAGCTTGGCCTCAGAAATATGAGCAGATATGATAGTGGTTGAGATCAAGGGAGAGACAGAGGAAACCTCTGGCCTGAGCGGAGAGGCTGTCCGCTCTTCCGGAATCACAGAGGCCTGTACTCCAGTGCTCAACGGGGCTTTTACACCACTCATCCAGGGCTGGGCCATGGAAAGTTTCAGAAAGGGAGGGGGCTGGATATTGAATCCAGAGGAAGCTTGCCATTCTGCGCCCAAAGTTCACATACCTCTTCTGGCCCTGTGACTCCGAAAGCCCAACGTGAACTTACAGAGGATGAAGTCTGTTCATTTTCTTCAAAAGATACTAGGTGGATTATTCTTTAAAACTTTATTGATTGGACTGTGCTCAGTGTAAAATGACGTGTGGGACACCCCGGGTTTTAGCATGGGAAGCAGATTTTAGCTGGGAGTCTTTATGGCTGGGGAGGTGGCTCCTTTGGTGGGTTGCTCCCTTTGCAGGCAGGAAGCCCGGGGCTCCAGCCTCAGCGTGGCATAAATGGGCGTGGTGGGTATACCTGCAACCCTAGCACATCTTGATGCAGATTCAAGAATTCTGGAGAACGCACGGGGCTCTCTCAGAACTTTGCCATCTAACCCTGGCTGTCCGTCCCCTCGTCTCAGTTTTGTGGGCTAAGAGTAATTCCCAAGCCCCTGTCTAGGTGGCTCCTCCTGTCTCCAGACTGTTGAATTTCAGCCTGTCACTCACTCTGAATTCCTACAGGAGAGGGGAGAAAAGCCAGCTGGGTTCCCCTTCCTGGTGAGGCTGGGGCACAGCGCCACGCAGGCAGTCCTCTGTGTGGTCTGTGATAAATTTGTGAGCTCAGGACTCCCAGCTTCCTTTTTAGATGTGTGACAGGAAGTGGGTCTTGCTGATGGTCATTTGTCAGGGTAGAATTGGCGTGTTAGCATCTGCGGAGGCTCATGGAACCCTAGGTGTGGGGATAGGGGCTCAACTGGGTGGGGGAGAGGAGTGGATGGGCTCCCCTGACTGAGACTCCAGAAGAGGCAGAGCCTGGGGGTGGCAGGTGGCTGGGGACTATTTGTTTATAAGCTTCTTAATCTCTGTCCCCACAGAGATGACCCAAATGACAGACCCAATGAAAAGAGAAGTGTAGGCTGGTGAGATGGCTCAGCAGGGAACTAAGCCTGACAGCCTGAGTTCCAGTGACTTCCAGAAGCTGTCCTCTGACCCCCACATGCTTCCCATGGCACCTTTTCCTGGTTGGGCTAACTAACTGAGATCCTTGTTTGCCGTCCGATTGTGTAAGGTGATGTCATCCTGTCCGTCCATGCAGACTCCTCTTCATTTTCTGTGTACGTGGGAGGCAGCTTGTATGAGACTTGATCCAGCCCTTTTATCAGAAGGGCAGGGCAAGGCGGGGTGGGGCTGCTTGCGAAGGCTGAGTCCCTGTGAGGAGCCACCCCTGTATCCTGCCCTCTGCCCTCTCCTCTGTACCCGGGCCCCTTGTGTGGTATTTGTAGTTTAGCCAAAACTTTATAGATTGCACAGCCAAGTCAAGGGCATCTGTGGGCTGCCTGTGGCTGTGTGACCTGCCTGGGGACCGCTGTGGTTGTGGTGACCCCAGGATGACACTTCTAAGGTGAGCAGAAGAGAGACAGCAGAGTCCAGCTGCAGATGCCGCAGTGATGGAGCCGTGCGTGGGCTGAGCTTCCTCCCCCCAAAAAACACTCAGGGAGGAGGGTCGTGCCTTGCGTCTCTCTTAGAAGACAGTGTCCCTGTGAGACATTTCTTTCACATCTAGGCAGAGCGTAGAGGCCCCCAGCTTGTTAGAGAAGCCATTGCTTCCTAAAGGGAGGAAGTAAGGCGATGTCTCAGGCTCTCACTGAGCACGTGTGCTGTCCCAGGAGCGACACTGTGAGCTCCTCAGTGACCTATTTAGTTTGCGGTGACACCCTGGAGCATAGGTGGTAGGGTTACTATACTCATTTTACAGGCAACAAAACTGGGCCACGGCACTCAGGCAAACCGGCCTGATGTCAGCCAGGCTCTGGTGATGGCTGGATGTGGGCATGCGTGGTCAGAAGCCTAGGGCTGTGGGGTTAACTGGGAGGAGAAAGGGGACAGGGTGTGTAGGTCAAGGGTTCCGCCTCTGCTGGCTCTGGGGTGCTGGGTGTAACTTATGAGGGGCTTCATCTTTTAGACTTGTCTTGTCAGGAGCTGTCAGGACATGGCTGGTGTGCCCGTGTAAGAAGCTGGGGACAGCTCTGCATGCCTGTAGCTTGAGTATAGGGCAACAGAGACAGAAGGATCCTGGGAGCTTGCTGTCCAGCCAGCCCAGCCAAATCAGTGAACTTCCAATTCAGTGAGGAGCTGTCTCAAGACAGCAAGGTAGACTGTGGTGGATACTGATACCCTGCTGTGGAGTGCGCACCCATGCACTCAGGTGCATGCAGTACATGCACCCCCACACACGTGTGCTCGCATACACACACACACCACACATATGCACACATGCACATATGTAAGCACACACATCAGCACACACACACAGGATGGGTGCACTGAAAATCTAGTTCTCTGTCCTCATCTGGCCTTT